TAGCGAGCGATGCCAGGCCACAGCTCTTCTCCAAGGCAACTTTCTCTGACCAACATCCGGAGCCGTCTTTTGACCTGTTGCACCTCCGTTTCAATTCTCCCATTTGAAGGGCCTTCATCGCCCCCCGTCATAGTTTGGTAGAGACCAAATCGCCGGCAGAAGGACTGGAACACCTTGGAGAAGAAAGCGCACTCCCTGTCGGTGTGGACACGGATGATCCTCAACCCCATCGCTTTGAAGCGGCAGTACATCCTTGTGGCCACCTTTGTGACATCATGTTGACCTCTCGACTCCAGGGGCTCCACCAGCGTAACATTTTGAACTCCCACGGGCGCAGCCAATTCATCAATGTGCCTTTTCCAGCTTTCATTGAGGGCGACTGCATCCTCCTGCGCAGCCCGGTCTTCTTCCTCCACTTCATCCAGCTGAGGCAGAACCTGTTCGCCATCTTCTCGGTTGGCGGGATCCTCTTCACCTCCTTGATCAACTGGATCACGTTCTTCATCTCCTCGATCAACTGGATCACGTTCTTCATCTCCTCGATCATCAGGGCGGCGTTCATCATCTTCACCTGGACGATCTCCACCTCCCCCCAAACCACGAGGCAGCTTTGGAATGGCCACCGTCGCCACCATGATGTACTTCGACTTCGTGCCCAAACCCACATCATCTCCCAGTGGCATTGGCCCCAAGATGTCATAGGACAAGCAGTGAGCCGATCGATCTCCTGACGTCCTCCGGTGTGGCGCATCAACGCCCATCAGCTCCATGCATCGCCGACAGTCCCTCCTGTAGGGTTGGTGTTGGTTCTGCACGTGAGTTTTCCAACTTTCCATACTCATCCGTTTCACTCCAGGTTCGCCGTGACGCACGATCTCCTCGGCACCCCACCTGCGCCTGTAGTCCAGGAGGAAGTTCTTCAAGCACTCCTTCACCGCCGCCACCAAGCCCGGTGCCCAGGCCGACCACTCCCTCGATTGGGCCAGTCTCCCGGTAAGCGATGTCGCTTCAGCTTCTCCTCGACCTTCTCCAGACACGCCATCCAACTCCTTCATCTGTGGGAGATTGGCGACCATCAAACATGTTGGTTTTCTTTTGACGTGGCCCATAGGCCCTTGATCCATGGTCAGCAAGGATGCGCCCATCCGCTCTCTGGCCTTCTTCACTTCCTTGAAGTTCCAGAAACTCGGCATGTCCTCCTTGATGGCCTCACTTGACATGTAGTCCATGGGGTCTCTTGGCGACTCCATCAGGAATCCAGGTTCTGGTCGTTCTCCACGATGCTCATCAGCGAGGAGCCAAAGACCAATCTGTTTCATCATCAAAGCGCAATCGCTGAGGGCAAGCTCCTGCTCCGGCAAAGACAGTCCCTCCAGCATGAATCGACGGTCATCTCGACCTCTCAACGGACGTGGACCTGGAGCCCGGTGCCTGAGACGCGACACCGTGCGGCATGGCGGTCCTCCCAGAACAGCCACCACCAGTCCTCGTCGAGCTAGGTGACATAGATACCCCCAGGTTCCAATGCCGTGGAGATCAAACTGTGCACCCATCGTCACATCCACATTCAAAATCTCAAAGCCACCCCAGTCCGTCTTAGACCAACTCTTATAGTCCTTCCCGGCAAAGAGGTTGACAATCACACCACGAGACGCCAGGCGCCGTCGCCGCTGACGTCGATTCCAGGGGCAAGTGCAAGCATCAAAGCTGTCCTGGCCCTTCATGAACTCCCACACCTCTGCAGGGACCTCAGGAAATCTTGATGACCACCATGATCGTACTTCATCATCATTGAAGATCTCCCCCCGATCTGCCTTCTCCATGATGCTGAGCAATTCCAGCGCCTTGGCTTCAGGTAGAACCGGACATCCTCCACGAAGTGCGCAGTCAATCCTGCCATGACCAGGGTGATTGATCTTCACTCCAGCTGCGGTCCAGTGAAGCCGATACCCCAAGCCCACCAATCGATGGAGCGGGACAATGACCTCCACGTGGTCCTTGGACAGCAAAGTCTTGTGGTCATCCACCCTGAACAACGTCGTTGACCCTGAGGCCAATTCAACCCTCACTGGGTACATCTTCTCCAGCTCCTGTTGATGTGCTCGACGAAGGCCATTGGTCGCTCCCCCATCCAGTAATCCAACAGGTGCCAAACCATCAGTGCCTACCGGCTTCAACTCCTTCACAGAAAGCAATTCTGCCGTAGTTTCCCGACCCAGTGGCTTCTCAGGTGTTTCTGCCATTCTCGAAGTGGTCGTGGTAGGAGGCGGCGATGACCCCGGAGACGGCTCTTCACTTATGGGCTGCTCCTTGGCGATCTTCTCGACGATCTCCCCCTTCTCTCCTTCCTTTGTGGCCTTCACCTTTGAAACTTTCTTTGGGTCTGTCTTTCCAGTCTTGGGTTGGTGAGGACATTCACGCTTCATGTGGTTCCCACCGCAACCAAAGCACCGGTTCTTCATGTCCGAGGTGTCGTGGGCATAGGTGCAAGACGTTCCCCTCCTGCAGCCTTCCTCCGACTTCCAAAACTTACAAGCAGGCCTTCCCGCTGCCCGCTCTTCATTCTCAGCTGCTCCAAATGACGATGCCATAGCCTTCAGTGACGTCGAGGCCGATTGGTTGGACGAGGCAGCCGGTTGAGCCAGTGGTGCACCACCCTTCTGAGCAGCAGTAAGAGACATCTCTTCGATCTCCGCCTGCACATACTCAGCCAGCTCAGTGACTCCTTCCAATGAAGCTGCATAGTCAACTCGGAGTTCTTGCCGAACGTTTGAGATCCTGAATGACACTTGAGTGCCTCCTGCCTTTTGAGCGCTGTCGATCATGCGCTGCAGGGCATGCATGAGGACCAGAGGGTCCGGGAGGTTGAGGTGAAGTTCTTGAGCACGAGATAGCCAACGTCGCCACAACCGGACCTGCATCAACAAATCTCCCACCGATGTGGAAAACTTCGACTCCACTAAATTCTTGAGGAGTTGCGTTTTTTCAGCGCCGCCCCCCGGCTGGTATGCCACATGGAGCCGGTACAAGATGTGCACCACAGACAGCTGCCTTCCAGACACCAGGTCCCGACGAAGCTGATCAGGTAGCGCTCCGAGCAGCATGGCAATTCCACGCTGTTCAATTCGTTGAAATGCTGGATCCACTTCGACTTGGGGCTTCGATCTCAACCTCTCCAATGGGCTCAGTCGCAGCCAGCGTGAGTAGTGCTCCTGTGCAACCATCAGTGACTCCTCCCACCAGGCCTTCGCTGAGTTGGAGATGTCGGCCATCAACGGAAATGCCATAGTCAGCCAGTCGCCGAAGAGGATCGAGGCTCCTTCTCCATTGGGTGCTGGAAGTGATGGAAGCTCCAGGTTTCTCAGGGCCTCAGTCGTCGACGCCACGGGGATTCCAGCACCAATCCTGGTCACCTTCCCTGGTCCACCACCAAGCCCTGAAGACGATGTCCCGGTTGTGGTCTCATGTAATCCAGGGGGTCGATCAGGTAGTGATTCACCCGCACCATCACCATGGTTCCCACCTTGACCGTCAGTGGAACCCCGAAGTTTCGCCCGTTCGCCCACACTATTCGCCGATTCAAAGGTCGACGAATCTCCACCACCTGTCAGCCTCTTGACCTCCTTCTCGAAGTTCAAATGGGCTTCACGAAGGATGCGCTCCCGAATGGCTTCCAGTTCCTGACACATCGGGCTTCTCTTCACCTCTTCACTAGGGGGTTGAGGACGCTCAGAACGGGATCCCACATCAGGTGCATGACCATGATCGCTCCAAAAAGGATTGGTCTGTTGCCGCCCATGTTGATGGGGAGTGGACATGTCGTAGGGCTCAAGTACTCTAGGTTGTGGACCACCTTCACCATTCATGCTGCTCCGGTCCGCTCTCGGCGGGAATGGAAACTGAGGCGATGCAGGTGCCTCCCGCTGCCAAGCCCCTTGCCCTCCAGGTTGTCCTGGATCGCCGTCGCGAGGGTGTCCTGGATCGCCGTCGCGAGGGTGTCCCGGATCGCGGCCATGAAATAGAGGTCCAAGAAGTCCTTCAGGAGGCGGAGGTCCCACCGGCATCGGTCCTTGGGAGTTCGGTCCAAAGGCCCTTTGCAACACCTCAAGGGATTGCCTCACCGTCTCCTGCCAGCCAGCTCCCCGGTCCTGCCGTTCAGGTGCATAGCCAGGTTGTCTACCACCAGCCCCGCTTGCCGCCGCCGAAGATCTCCTCGCTTCAATGGCCGCTGGAGCTCCACCCACTCTCTTCACAGCAGGTGGCATTGACGTTGCCTTAGCCTCCTCGAGGAGGGCGTCGAGCCTCTCATCAGCTGCTCCCACCCGCAGTTGCCCTCCTTGGTCACCTGGATCCCTCAGCCTGCCTCCTTCTCGGGAGGAGCGTCGTCGCCGCGCCATCAAGCCGCTCATGGGGACCAGCGACCTCAAAAGAGGGTGGACTTCAAAAGCTCCTTGGGCTCATAACCTGTGGTTATGGAAAAAGCCTCAAGAGCGACCGACGAAAAACAGCCGCTCACGTTGTTCCTTGAGCCAAACGCAGGTCGTATTGACCATGGTTTCACCTTCTTCAGGTGTTCATGACCTTCATGAAAAAGTATGCTTTGGGTCGTGCTTTTCCATTCACAGAATCAAATGGACCCAGAACGATCAGAATGACCCAGATGAAACCAAAAATATGTCCTCTTTGTCAAGGCAAATCGAGATGTCCTGCCTACTTTCTGCTGAGGCGGGTTCACTGCATGACTTCCTTCCAAGTAAAGAGGGAAATCCCTCCCAAGACTATTCCAATGGTCAATTTGTGGCGAAGAAGGGGATTGTCCTTGTGTTGCCATCCACAACAGGTCACGTCTTGATATGCACTGATGCGTTTCCATTGCGAGACCAGGAAGACTAAAGTGACCATGGTCAAGCCCAACGCAACCAACGGATAGGCGTCGTAGTCGCAAGAGAAGGTCTCATATTCTCTGGAACAAGAGGACCAACGATCGACCAAGGTCGGAGCTAGCCAGGAGTAAAAGAAGTTCGAAAAGTTGAAGACTGAAGTTGGATGGTGGCCAGAGTCGCCACCAGCTTGGGCTCCAGGTTTGCGACTTGACCCATGAAAGCAAACTCCAGCATGTCGCAAACAAAGAACAAGAGATCGTGCAACTTGTTGAGCACGGCATATGTGAATTTGAAGGTGGCCGTGGGCTTTCCCGACCAGGAGCAGTATTGGGCCACTAAACCGAGTACCACTAGCGCCTCACAGATATAGCCCATCATGACCCAGGAGAGCTGTCTCTTGGTGTCTTTAGTAGCTGTGGAGGCCACCACCAGGACACTCAGCGTGACTAAGGCCAATGGCAAGTCGTAAGCAGCATAGTCTTCACCCTGGAACCCCCACTGCTCATAGCGACTCGGAAGGACCACGGTGTGATGAAAGTTGACTGCTGGCATGAAGAACTGATACAAGAGCCAATGTGCCATGTTGGGACGATGTGTTGTGAAGACCCAGAACCCCTGCAACACGTCGCGGAAGTGCACCATTGCTAAATTCCTGTCGGCCTTGCCTGCCAGAGCAACCGCGAGCACCGCAAGCAAAGCAGTGATTGCCATAAAACCCACAAAACCTGCCACTACCCCTTCCACTGAAAGGACTTCCAGCTTCATCAATAGGAAAAGTCCTGATTTCGCAACTGTCGTGCCAACAAAGATTCCAATCACCTGACATACTGCCGGAAGGTGTTGCCGATTCGCCGGCATCTGCCTCAGAGCAAACGCATCCAGAATCAAATCTCCAGTTGCATTCAACAAGGCCACCCGGAACAAAGGCCATCGCAGCTCTTCAGCTCCCGAGCGGCCTTTCTGCAACGCTTCAGGCAGTAGAGGGATGAGGGCCAGTAAGGCAGCAGCCACGAGGCCTTGCAAGGCAATCATCAAGTTCTTGTAACCCCCTGGAATGTTTTGAGCACCATAATCCACCAGAGGTGCAAAAAAGACCTTCAGAGCTGCAGGAAGATGAACGATGGCCAGAACCTCAGTGGCTCCCAGAGAGGTTTCCTTTCGATTCAGCAGCTGCGGGATGGTACTGTCGCTCAAGCCATAGATGCAACCCTGGATGCTGTACATGGCCGTGACAGCCAGCAGAACGGCAATCATGGCGCTGACCTCTTGTCCAGCGCTAAGCCCCAGTTTTGAGCCACAACTGATGACCAAAAATACGGAAATGAAAGAAAAGGAGAGAAAACAGTTCTGACACAGTTGTATAGCGATAACTCTCGATGCCTCAACAATATACGAGTACGGTGTTTCCATGCGGCGCCTCTGAGACCATGTGCTGCAAGAGAACCAGGAAACACAGCTGCTTCCCAGTGAGCCTTACAGTAGTCGCGTTGCTTGCAGTTATATCTAGTTAAACTATGTGTATGATACATATATATATATATATATTACATATATATATATATATGTAATACAATATTATCATCTTATATATACTAATATATCATTTACAAACAACAATAAAGGTTTATCACATGTACTTGACTCATCTTGATCCTGTATACTTGTTGCATCTTGTTGCCATCCACGTGAACACGCAGGCAGCTGCAGTAATACCTACTTGCACTTCGAGCAGGAAGGACATGGTATAAGAAGAGACCGAAAATGACACAAAATGGAAGAAAGAAAAGCTTGTGTTGCTGTTCATTTACTGCAAGCATTTATGACACAGGATATTGTGAGAGTCATCTCCTCTGCTATTCTCTTGAGAACCTTCAACCACCCACCTACTGTAACTTTTTCAAGCTGAGGAAACGCTGACGTATTTGTCTCATAGTCAACTCAAAGCCAGGGATTCACTACTCAATCGATCTCAACTGCATCAACAGACTCTGGGGATTCAGCAATCTGCTCCTGCACGGATTCAGAAGCGGAGAGGTCACTTGGTTTTTTTGCAACTTGGAAGTGGCCAGAAAATGCCAAAGTTGCCGAAAACGTAAGTTTCAATGACCTGCGAAAGACCTTCTTAAAACAATGCTATGTATCTTCATGTCTCTTCGTGTCTCTTCGATTCCTCTCTGTCTTTCACATTCTTTTGCTAGATCTAACGTGCACCTGTCTCTGCAGGCTGTAGGCCCGAGTTGCTGTCAATGCGAGTTGGATCCCCTGGTCATTCGTAACACTGAAATTCAATGCAATTCGTATCATTTCGCATCAACTCCTAGCGGTTCAGTCCTGCATTCGGGATTCTTCTGCACAAATGCCACAGGGTCACTGGTGAACTGCTGGAGACGTGCCTTGTGCTTTGACAAAGACCACTTTCTTTCTGAGCATTTGAAGCAACAAGAAGGAACATTTAAAACAACTTGCTTTTCAGTTCCAATGCAGACTCGGTGAAAGATTAGATCTGCAGTGACACATGATTATGTGCACCATATGTATCACGTTGTATTGCAGTATATCAGAGCTTCAAGTCGATGGAGGGCCTCAAGTCTATGGAGCATAGTGTTTCACGAGTCTTTGGCTAGAAAGCCCCTGCCAACACCAACTTCTTGCAAGATCAAGGTCTACCTTGCGTTATCTTGCGGTGTTTCGTTTGCCTGGCAACATCGAAAGAGAGGGATTCACTAGCTGAGTCCATCCCTCGCCCAGGGCGCTGAGTCCATCTGCCGGCCGAGGCGCTCGATGCCTGGCCACTCGCACGCTGACTCGCTTGCGCCAGCGCCTCCGATGAGCTGTGCCAGCTGTTGCTTCGCCCACGCTTGCCGTGAGGCGCCTCAGGGGGGCGTCGGACACCGCGGGCGGAGGGCATTGGGGGGACGTTGAAGAAGGAGGGAATGCGCATAGAAAGGTAGAGACAGAGAGAGAGATGGCACCTCCTCCATGGACCGATGTCCCCCCCCTTTGATCTTTTTTGGTGTTCCTTCCTGGGACTCGTTTCATAGGGCTCTCCAACCACCGCGCGGACCGGTCCGCGCTTGCCCGACCATGCGCCCTGCTTCTTCACAGATCGCCCAAGGCACAGGTCTCGAGTTGCCCGTCCTCCGCCTGCAAGGCCTGGCCGTTCCACCGATCCACGGGCATGACGGGGGCGCGGAGAAATGGACCCGAACAGACCGAGGGAGGCCAAACATGACCTCCTTTTTCTTAAGAAGAGACGATACTTTGGGTGGTTGGTAGGCTCCATAGTAAGGAATAGATGCCGCTCAGGGGGTGGTTCATGTCAGGGGTCCATTTGGGGCGACATATGGCTCCGCCCCAAAGAGGTCATGTCTGGGCCAATGGATTCCACGAAGGCAGAAACATGCCAATGCTCAAGCCAGCATAAGCCACCAGCAGGTCCTTGTGGAGCACGACTGACACCAATACACATGACATAGAAAACAGGACTCGTGGAAGCTGACTCCGACTCAGGGGAAGTGACGTGGGGAAACCTCCTGAAAGTAAGAGTTTTCCGGCTTCTAAAGCGGAACACCGTCTTTGAAGAGGGCCATGCAATCCACCATGCAATCGTTGTGGACGCATCGTGGTTTCGTGGGTCTTGGACACAAAAAGCACCAGCGAAAGCTAGCTTGAGGGAAGTCTTGGGGAGTCTCAGTCTAAGAATTACTTATTGTAGAATCGTAGAATGTTGAAGGAACCTGCAAAACCATCCTACCCACCATCCCGGGCGTTTCAGGCCAAGGTGGCAAGCCTAGGGCCTAGCCTACTAGAAAGACCCCCCACTCAGAGTACGACATGCATCTCAGCGCATGTCGTACCCCCTGAAGGCCAGATGAAGGCATCTAGAAAGCTGGCCGATCTTCCGGCCACCTTCTCCACCGTCCAGGGTGCCCAGACCTGGAAGCCGAACGGCCTAGCCCAGTGTGGGGTAGGATACCCCTTGGACACCCCGAAAAGGGAGGGTCCTGGTTTACAGCATCGTTGGGTCGCCAAGGCAGAATTCTGTGGCCACCTATCATCCTAGCCCAATGGTGGAGGCCATTGTCTGGCCACCGACAGTGGTGCATTCAGCAAGATGGTTTGTGGTTTAGTAGGGAACACCCGTGGTTTTTAATCTGTGATCCCTTCTTCCAGGGTGCCTTTGGGAGATCTCCCTATTTTAATACACACCCAGATAGGCGTTGCTTCTGCAGCTGGGGTGATGAACCGAACCCATTCCCTGGCCCAAGCTTTCCCTCGCCAGGCGTCAACAATGGCTGGCCGCACAGCGGCCGCAGGGTACAGCAAGGAGAGACCAACATGGCAAAGCAATATGAAAGCTGGCATTGACAAACTGACAAGCAGCTGGAGCCCAATTGAAATTTTGGCACGTGGGTCAACGCCCCCCTCCCCGGCCCTCCCCGCACAGTGACGGGCTCAAAAATCAACAGAACAGAATAGATTGGAATAGTCTCCAGGCACTCTAAATGGGGGGAATGGTCTCCCACCGTCTATAGCACCCCAAATGGATGCCCAAATGGATGCCCGAAACCGACCAGTGACTTGGGGTCGTGCGGCTGGCGCGTCGTCGTTTTCGTGTGCTTCGGCCCCACCGGGGCGGTGAGGGTTCGGGTGTCCTTGGGACCGGCGGTGTGGATCGATATACACCAGCTTCTTCAGTACGTGACCTCTTTGGAGTGCCCAAGTGACCTTTTACAGGCCCGGACTGGTGACCTCACACAGGGATATCAAAAGGTCACTTTGAAGAACCAGGCATATGGTTGGAAGGTAGTGGAACCACATGATGGCTCACCCGTGGGCAGTGAGGGTCACATCTTAGTGTCCTCACGCCATAGATTGGAACAACCAGACCTGTTTTCTGCTTGGGGACCTCCCCATGTTGGACCAGGAGGAGGTACGAGCAGAAGAATCGCAGAATCCTCCCGCCAGAACCAAGACCGAGATGATCCAAATCCAGCATCCGAAAACGGTCGAAGCAGGTCGAATCCGGGGTGGCAGCGACCCAAAAACCAGGTCGAACCGACCGGGTGACCTGGCAGTGCGGATGCTGGATCAAGACTGGTTATATCGTTGGTTCCAACTCCCGCACAAATTGTGCTCAGTGGGTGAACAACAATCGCTCCCAAAGGTTGAATAGATGGGAATGTGTCGAAGCAAGATATCAATCAATGGTGGGAAAATCCGATAGGGTTCAATCCTATCCCGCACACTCCATGATCTCAGAATATCTGCCGCCCCAGACAGACCCCCCCTGACACCACCCCGAACGCCCGAACGCCCGTTTCTCGGCAGCCCGACATGGCAGTCCCATGAGTCGCGTCGGGGTACACCCTAGAAGTCCACTTCGACTATATGTTGACCGGCTGAAGGATCCAGGATATTCCTTGACTCGGGTCACCGTTCGTCAGACCATTCTTTTTATAGCCTTTGACTCTATAGGGTATATATATATATACCAGGACCTTCCAAGATCCGGTGGTGTTTGGGCGCCTCTTAACCTCTAAGAGGCTATCTATAGACACCTCTTGGTGTTGGTCCTGGGACCTTAGTCTTTGACTCCAAAAAGGGTCCCATGAGGTGGATCCACTCGCACCCACGATCCGACCTCTGACGGGTCCGTGGCACCCGTTCACCGCTGTCGCTTCCGCTTGTTGAACTTCTTCCGCTCGAAGGGCGGCGGCAGCCGCTGCTTGACACTCTCCGGCGTCACCTAGAGCCAAAGAGGCTCACACAAGGGATGGAACTGGACTGGACTCCTTCCGGCCTCATCCTGCCTCCACCCGCGGTTCCCCGTTCGCCTGTCTCTGTCTGGCGCCCTTTCCTCGCTCCTCCCTGCACCGTGGATCCCCGACCCGCCACGCAGCGGTCCGGGTCCGTCCCTGGCCTCCACCGCGAGAGCCACCATGGGCTCGGTACCTCAGCGGTCGGTTACAAACCAGGACGAGAGGGGCCACGGACGTCCCCAAGGCGTTTGCAAGGTGTGACGCGCCATGTCTTGAGGCTCCCAAGAGCGAATGATCAACTGGGGAGATGTGCAAAATGATGAACTAAGCATGGAATCATACTATCACCATCTGTCACCATATCCCAGACACTCCATGTATGCCATATATGCCTACATTGGGGTGGTTTGAGGGGTCAACGTAGGCATATATGGCATACATGGAGTGTCTGGGTTGTATACAAAAGAAAACCACCATCCTCAAAACCCCAAC